GCTAGGAGGCGGGGTGGGGGACTGGGGTCTCGTGATGGCACAGAAGAGTTAAGGCAGCGTCTTCGGAGTGTCTGAGCCTTAAATTAAAACCATCATGAAGCACTTTACAAGTGACATTGATCAAATTTGAGCAGGCGTCACTGTTCGTTTTGCACAAGGAGGCCATTTTTATTTTTTTTATTACATGGAGTCGAAGATCCGTCTATCATATTGAATCATATCTATGGTATCGAAATGTCGATATATCTGCATCCGTGATTCTTAATTGTGGTACGCATACACACTGTTGTGCAGTTCAGTTGTGTTTCACTTTAAAATTCAATCCAATTGCATTTAATCTCTAATAGCGGTTTGTTGTCTGATACATTTTAACCGAATGATTCAGTCATGTTTAAACTCTCCGCATAAATCTTCCGAGTGGCTTCCAGTAAAATTGACGATACTTTTGAGGACTAAAACCTCTGTCCCGTTTCTACACTCAAGTACATGTGTTCTTTTCTTGTTGTCATTTTCATTGCATGTTTCTCGAAAGAGGTCACATGGGTCCTCCACAATGGATGCTTCTCTCTCATAAACTGTTATTTTTGACACCAGCCCAAAAGAAGATCTCCATCGGGGTGATTTTGGGCGATCACGGTGGCCGTTTAGCATATCTGCCAAATGAAGGAAGAAGCGAAATAATTAACAACTCTGTCTAACTTTTACAACATGTTTGCACTTTGCCTTATGTATGTTGTATATCAGTATATAATACAATATGCTGTATATGACACACAGGTTCATCTCCAATTAGAATTTGGTCTTTTTTCCTGGGACGATTGTTGTACATGTGCGGAAAAATGAGGAGAAAGTCGGCACATGTGATATCATGTAAACGTGTAGCTCATGCTGCATAAAATGATCCATTTTAAGGTTTAACACACATAAATGCGAGTCGGCTGCCGCCGTGTAAGCTGCCTTGTTGTCTCCCAAAACACGCGTGCATCATAAGGAGCGCAAATGGCCAGCAAATCACTTGTGGAGAAGCTATCAGAAAGCTTGTCTTTATCAATGATTGTGTGTGATACAGAGGAGGGGGTGAGTTTGGGGCGCAGGGGGGGCTTCTCTCAGTTATAAAGGGCCTATTTCAAAAGTGTCAAGTGAGCTGCTTGTGTCTGTATTCCATTGAGGCGTCCCACAGGGTTCTGCCACGGAACCCCTGTTTTTCCACTGGAATACAAAGACATGGCGAAATGGGAGTGATTTTATTTTTCTTGTTTTTTATGACAGGATCTGTTTCTGCTTTTATAGGCTGATAAGAAGATATGTGATAATGCCCATCACTAGTTTAGGCGCATATCGTTACACAAGTTCCACTAATTCATTTAAAATATCATTTTTTCCAAATGTCATTATTGAGTTTTAATTTTCAATTTAATATTAACTCTGAAAAAAAAATTTTTCCTTCTTCTTCAAGATCAATATAAGAATTGATATAGAGCGGCCGTACTTGATCTCACATTTGTAGTATTGGCATCTATATTTGTATCAGCATTGATATCTACGTTTTATTACTTTTCATCATTTTCAGCCTCTCTTTTACTCGGAAAGGTATTCATCACTAGTGAATACTGCAATGGATGGATTTCAAGTGACATTTTAGTCATGTTTCATAATAAACACCATTCAAGTTCAGATATCGGTATCGGTATTGGTCTGCTTAGTGCGGCATCGCCCGTCAGCACACATTGCCACTCCGCAGCATAGTACGCCCCAGCCATAACCCAAAACTAAACACCATCCCCATTCTGTTAAACGGCTTTAGATTTGTTCCTGTCGGATATTTGCAAAATTTGTCATCATTTACCCACTAAATCAAACTCAATTGCTCCTTCAACTCATTTAGCGAGCCCGTCGCTTTTATTGCCTCGACGGGCCGCCTGATAACATCATCATCGCCATCACGGCGAAAACATTATTAAACACCATCATTCCTTGAGATTTCAAAAAAAAAAAAAAAAAGGACGAAGAAGAACAAGTAGAAAAGCAACTCTCTCATTTGCCATTCCGATGACGGCATGAGTTGCATTTATCACCTCGAGCTGGAGTGAGGTGATAAACAATGCCATTCATTATCCGGCCCAGATGCAGCGATTGTTGATTAGAGGGCTTTGAATTAATGTAACACGCGCACACACGTGCACACACACAGATGGGTGGACATTAAGAAAGGAGGGGGGGGGCGCGTGAATAGGCTTGGAGGGACATTAACGGCAAGCATGATTGATACTTGCCGCGCAGGCTTTTTAATGGTATTGTTATTCCTCCGAGTTATTCCCCCCCAACCCTACCCCCCCGCCCATCCTCCCCGTCGCGTCTCCCCTCACAGATAAATGGACGCGTAATAATGAATAGAAATCATACTACGTTTTTGTTTTTTTTTTTATTAGCGAGTCTCAATTAGAGGAGAGAGTTGCCGTTTAAATACGAGGAATTGTCGGGTGAATGTGACAGTTTGCTACCTCCAAGGATGAATTGCACCTTTTGCTTTTTCTTTGGCTTTGTGGCAACTCGTTGACCAAAAGGAGCCGCAACTATTTTTTGCTATGAGTTAAATGTGTGTCACCGTTAAGCGAGGCTATTTTACAAAACGTAAACATGAAATGTCCCATCACACGTTCATCATTATTCAAGTGTTTTGCTTTTTCTTTGGCTTTTTTTTTTTTGGAGGCCGGGGCACACTTTTTCTTAAAGGCGCAGCAACTACTTTTAACTGCGAGAAATTATTCCTTTGTTAAATGTAGCAATTTTCTTTTGCTTTAAGTTTTTCCTGACACATATAGTTAGCCATGACATGTTTTTTTTTTACCAGTGCTTAACATGTATTTACACTGAGGTGAGAAATAAAAAATATTTAAAGATGTCGTGAGCGGCTTGACGTGACGGTTGACATTTTATGAACATGAAATGTCTTACGAGAAAGAAAAAGTTTTGCTTTATCTGCGTCTCCTGTTTTGTTGCAGTTGACGTACTCTTTTACTCTGAACATTGGTTCAATTCTTTTTACACTTGCATGAAACATTTTTCCATTTCCTTGTTTTTATGAGTAACAGTGGTGTCGCACTTTACACTTTCGTCAAATGAGCAGTTGACTTCTTGCCCTCTGTGTCGCGATAAAATCGATTTCAAAATAACATGCGCCACATTTCCCTTTTTTTTTTCTTTTTCTTGGGCGACCATGATACCAAAACGTCACCTTTATGCCTTCGTTTGGTGCATCACCACTTCATCTATTTTTAAACTGAAACCGCACCTACTCGCCAGCTTTACTTTTATGATAACACCCTGTGACAAATTATTCTCATTTCCTACGACAAAAGTGATCCCGAAATGCGAAAAAAAAAGTCTTATGTTGCCATATTAGAGGGTCAAAATATTCGGAATATTACGCAATATGGCATAGTACAGTTGTACAGTAATAAACATTGTTACACGTTTCACTCTCATGAACAAGAAAAAAAATATATTATCTATCTTCAAACAAAATCTTTGACGAATTGATCACACGATAACTTTCGATAGCATTTGAATTGAGCGCACAGTTAGTCGACAAATGTGGAGCTGAGGCTGCCAAAGGACATTATGTAGCATTTGATGTGCTGGACCAGCTTGTCCAAAGCACTTGTGTTTATTACATTGGCCTGCATGGCACACGCTGGCTGCCAGCACACACACACACACACACACACACACACACACACACACACACACACACACACACACACACGGTCTGGGTCCAAATGAGGTCATTATCACGTCTCGGCGGTACGGCGGAATTAGTGAAGGCAAGCTCACGTCTGCTAACCTTTCACACGTCGTAAAGATTTAATCGAAAGTGTTTCTGGCAGCCCGGTTTGATCATCTTTATTTTACAAACTCATCTTTGACGGCGACAAAGGGAATGCGCGGCCGCGCAGGGGCGGAGGCGCACTCGACACTTTATGATATTGATTTTTTTTTTTTTTTTTTGGGGTGACTTTGCTTATAAAGATGTCAAAGTTGTGTAACAAGCGAGCAGTAAAGATAAGTTGGCTCCTTTTGCAAGAGGCGAGGTTGTTTTCAACCACAAGCTTGAGTTGTTTTTTTTTTCTGCTCTCATGCAAGTGTATAAAGAAGTTAAGAGCTGCTAGTAAATGGTGTGACTGGTTAGCGGTTTCTCTGTGCGCCGTCATTGACTGACGACCAGTCCAGGGATGGAGTCTCATTTGTTTCAACCCTTTCATGCACCAATAATGATAACCTGTAAGATGATAACATGATAAGCTGTCCACTGTAGCGATCGCTGTCCCTGAAAGGTTTAAAAAAAATAAAATAAAATAAATGATTCAATTACATTTATGGCCATACTTTTTTTTACAATATCGAGGTCAAATGGCTAGTTTCGACTTTAATTTCATTAAAGTAAAGACACAAAAATTCATCTAAGGACACATCCATCTTTGATTAACATCTGCTCGTGTTATTAAATTGAACTAGTCTGCAATGTTTATCTCTTAAAAAGAAGACACTTATTGGTGTTGTGCTTTCCTGGAAAAAAAAAGAAAATAAAGAGGATTTATAGTTTTTGAGTAAATTTTTTTTTTTTTTTTTAAATATAATAATTTAGTTTATTTAGGAACTTTCATTTCGTGGAGGCATTACAACGAGCATTCATTTGACTTTGCAACCATAATCACAACAACAAAAAAACTTTTCTGGTTTGTATTTTGTTTTTTCCCCAACTAAACCGTCTTCCTTTGAACCAAACGCTTCGCAAAACATCATTTGTGGTGACACCCCTACTATTTCAGAATGGTCTCTTCCGTACGACCTGATCCATTCCTATTTTCTTGTCACACGGTGCCTCCCTCGTCGCCGTCGCCCCTTTTGATCTCACGGTCATAAAAGCAAAGTAGGCAAGTGTCAGTGTTTACTTATTTGTCACAATCTTATTTTTTTTTATTTAACGTCACTTCCACTTACTTCCTCGCCCGGCGCTATCGTCTCATTCATCCGGACCTCCCTCCGCGACCGCGCTTGTCTTCACCTCGTCCTTCGTTTTCTCTCTCCTCCTCCTCCATAGCAACAACAATGCTGCGCGTGCATCTTTCTCCTCTCCCGGCTCGGCCACGCCCTGCCACCCTTCCACTCTCTTCCCCCTAATCAGGGCCAGATGGAGGCAAGGACGGAGTGATGGAGGATGGGGAGGGAATCGGGTTTAGACCCGGCCGCGTCCCCCGCAGTGGGGAGCTGTCAGCCCTGCCGGGAAAGAGGAATTCTACGGCAATAAAATGCGGATTTATCACCACTCTACCACAGAGAGAGCGAAAGACAAGGAAGGGGGATGAGATCAGAATCACAAAGGCGAAAAAAAAAAAACAAGAAGAGTGACTTTCATAGAGGCTAGACATGCTTTCCCCGTACGGGAAGATGGCGGCCCGGTGGGCCCCGGTCAGCGCCGAGCGTTTGGCGACCGGACCGACCGGGGCCCAATCAACCTGCTAAAAATGAGTGCGTCCAACAACGGCCTGTGTAATTGAAACCAGAATGTGCAGCATTTGATAAATTGCTTGACCCCGCAGGAATGTTCAGCCTGTAAATTTTTACGGCATTTTGGATCGCGCTGAGGTGTGCGCGACCCTGTGTGTGCGTGTGCGTGTGCGTGTGTGTGTGTGTGTGTGTGTGTGTGTGTGTGTGTGTGTGTGTGTGTGTGTGTGTGCGTGCGGGTGCACGCATGTGGTTTATTACAACAAGAAGAGGCTGTGCGTCCGCCCCCCGTCGTTATTATTCCAAAAACCATAATAGTCCCTCAGTTGCATCTGCCGAATACACGACCATAAGACAAGAGCTTACATGTGTACTCTGGAGAAATTTTTGTTGTGCAAAGTATATCTCCCATAAAAGAGCGCAAAGCGTGATATGACTGTATATACAAATGGGATGATACTGTATGTCAAGAGTGCCCAAACAACATCGATCGTGGTCCACCGGTAGTCCGCGGACTATGTACACGTTATTAATATTAGATATTTTTTCAGTTTCACATTAACAACAACAATAACAAATTATCATTTAAAATATATCAAAACAAATAAATGAATACAATAAATAGGTCGCCTCTAACTTCTGGTGGCGCATGACCCGCTTCACAGGAAGTTGCTCGTCTGCAATTGCAGCTCGCGATCAGAGCCGTCATTCATTTGGCGTTGTCAAAGAATGGGAAGCTGGAGCACCCCAAACAGCAGATAAATGTAGATAAATAAACGCATGCAAATACGACAAACATACGGAGCAACAATGTAAAAACACAGCCATAAAATGAAAACGCGAAAGTAAAAAGTAAGGGCGGCACGGCGGGCGACCGGTTAGCACGACGGCCTCACAGTGTAGAGGTGCGGGGTCCGAGTTTTTAACTAAAATTAAAACATGCAACAGTTAAAAAAAAAAAAAAAAAAAGGAGAGAATAATTTAATTAACGTGACTTTCCAGTCGGAATTTGAAATGTGGAGCTCTTTCCATTCAAGTCCACCGTCCGCCTGTATGTGAACACAAGCTAGCATGCGCACGTACGTCAACAGCTTGGAGGACCATACTGAGCTCGGCCCGGAGGGCACAGCGGGGTCAGCGCAACGTAAACAGAGAGCGCGGCCAGATTTACGATGTTTGCCGTCCGCTACGACGACGACACGAGGGCTCTGCACATTCTCACGTTCAGAATTGCCTTTTTGCAGCTTTTCCATCATCCTGGCTGCACAGACACTTTATTTTTTTAACCCTGCATCAGGAGTAGCAATGACACTTGAACTTTAACATTTTTTTTTTTTTTTAACTTGATGCAGGGCCGTGTCAGAAAAGTCGCCGTTGTCCACAGGGAACCTCTTTTAACCCTTACATAATGCTCGGTGCAAACTCTTGTCACGAAAGAAATTTCAAGATACGAGAGGTAAATATACAGGATGGGCTGCTACTCGCAGCTCCGAGTTTCCTGAACGCAACATACTTATAGCTGCTCTGCCATTGGCTATTACCGAGCATCTTCCTGGCATCCCAATGACTAAGAGGGACCTCGACTGTACGAGTCTGTGTGTATATATCGATAGATATGTGTCTATGCGGCGTCCTCGTCATTCGCCCCTCGGGCCATGAGGCGCTCCAATAGTTTTACGTGAATGTGAATCACCCAGAAAAAGTGTTCACCAGTCGGGCGATCGCTCACGACGCTGATGTTTGCCTTGGACATTTTCGAAGGATTGTTAAAAGCCTTGTATCTGTTCTTTACACAACGCCAGACAAAAAACACTTCAGAGAGAGAACATGAACTCGAGAGGGCAAAAAACGATGAGGATGCAGTTAAAAGTTAAATGACCATCATTTTTATTCTTTATTATTATTTTTTTTTTTACATGATGCACGACTCATTTATTGTGCAATAATCTAATTGTAACGTATTTGTTTCATATTTTGATGCATTTTTATGCTTTAGAAAACATTTATGTCTGAATTTTGGAACGGATTAGGGCATTTACATGGAAAACGCACCTCAACTTACAAAATTTTCTAGTTTAGAAATTTCTTCCAGAACCAATTAATTTCATAAGTAGAGGTACCACTGGACTGTATATTCCTCCCATCCAATGAACTGCACGGCAGTTCAGCACATATCCTAGTTTATCTGATCAGCTTCAGGGTCTGTTTCGGTGTACAATTTTTGTTGCCGTCCCTTTCAGTAAATCACCACGTGGACGATGAACAGTCTGCGATGTGTAAAAAGAGGAAAACGCGCCCCTGACATCTGGCAGGACTCCGCCGCGAGCCCCCGCGGCGTTTCAGCATCCTTCCGTGGCCCGTTGACAGTTGTTACCTGTGCCCCAGCGGGCCCTCGCAGCCCCTAAGATAAAACGACCCGGATCCAGCGCCAGACACATAAATATTTCTCTCCCTTTCTCTCTTTTCCAAAATAGCTTTTAATTGTACAAGTTTTATGAGCTGGATATTCAGTGCATATGTTTTACAAGACGCGCTGTCCTCCGCCTCACCCCGACACTTCGGCAAATGTTTTGATTTAGTCGTCTAGAAGGAAGCAAAAGTTAATAAGTGGTGTGTGTGTGTGTGTGTGTGTGTGTGTGTGTGTGTGTGTGTGTGTGGAGGGGGGGGGTACACCAAGGATAGAATACATTCCACTGGAATCCATATGTCTCATCGGTAGTTTGCTAGCGAGCGACGTACCGATCGTTTTTACGATTTAATGTTAAAAAAAAAAAAAAAAAAAAAAGACGAGCGCCGAGTTGTTTCAAAGTGTTTCAAGGATGAGGAGATATATTAGAAGCGATGCAACACAAACAACGATCAGCTTGTATCTTGACGATGGCATGTCTTTGATCAACTGAAATGGAAATGAACACAGCATCAAGTTTCAGAGCAGTAACAAATTGCAAACAAAAGCAAGGGTTCGTCGCCGTTCGACCGGACATGTTTTAGGATGGGGACGGAAAAGAGAGAACAAAATGACACCGGACATCAACAACACCTGCGTGGATCTGGATTCAGAAAAGAGAGAGCAAAAAAAAAAAAAAAAAACGTTTATGGAAGGAGGAGAGAGCAAAAGTTGGGATTTGCTTGGTGAAGATTGGGTTCAGTGAAAAAAAAAAAAAAATTCAACAACACCTGTTGGATCCTGCGGTCCAAGGAGGAGGTTAAAAACAAAAGTTCGAACCGGTAACATTTCGTTGTAACACGCCATTCTGAATAATGTGTTTTTTTCTGGGGTCACAAGGTCACAGGTCAGCACAAGGTCGCGTGGGCGTGCCCGCGAGTGTGCAATAAATGACTGACACCTGTTCGGCACTTCTTTTTTTTTCCCCTCTCTGAATTTCTCCTCAGGGGTGGTGAGTTCAATTGAGAAAGCACAAGACGGGGGGACCAAAAAGCTGTAATTTGTTTCACTGATCAGATTTATGGACCACTGTCGAGTCATAGTTTCAAAATCAAAAATAGAACACAAATAAAATAAAATTGCAAACTCTTCCTTTAAACAAGAAGCAACTACAGCTGGCAGTAAAAACCAACAAACATCCACAATATTTTGAAATTGAAATAAAACCATACAACTCTCCACATTGCGACAAAATGAGAACTCACCACTATAAATTCTTCCATTTTTTTTCCTTTTTCTAATTGTTTCTCCATGTGCTAGTAGCCTCTCTGTGACCTCCGCGCACTTTTTTTTTTTTCCTCCCTCTCCTGCACCTTTGCCAATATCGGCCACATGTGTTTGGGTGACCAGAACACCGCGGCAACCTCGCCATTCGTCTTCATTTCTACAAAAGTCGTCATGCATGCCGCGCGTTTTAGCTCCGTTCGAAGACATCTGAGATGGCTATTTACGCTGCTCGTAGTTTGAAGCTCACGGCGCTCTTCGGTCATCACGTGATTTATTGGGGGAAAAAAATCGCGGGGGGAATGCGGAATAATAACTCACGGGATGAGATGCCAGATATGACTTTTATTTCGAGTAAAGAGCTTTCAAGTTCTTCTTATCATCTTTTATTTTGGACTCTGGCCTCCAGTTGCACTGTTTGCCTGTTTACGTATTGGGAAATATGTCACATTGGCTTTTTAATAGCTTGCCTCCAAATTGATGCGTCTCTGGAGTGCTTGCCCAAGCATCAAGTATGAAATTAAATGAATTATTTTTGGTTAACTCCCGAGTTCGGAAAAAGGGACTGTGATTGGGAAGAGGTTGATTTGTTTGCTCATTTACACAACAATGCTCAAACATTGAGTTTATCTGCTCAAACCATGACACCTAAATCTGAAAATTTCAAGACAAGGTAAGCAGAGCTGCATTGAGTTTTGTTGGAGTTCAGTTTATGCTTCTGATAAACCGCACGTTTCTGAAAATGTGTCCGTACTTTCAGATTCACCCCCCCCCCGCCCCCCACCCTACCCCAACACCGTTTCTGTGCCGATCACTTGGCAGCTAGGCTAGGTGAAGAGCCACCACTTTCAAGCCTGCGTGAAACATGAGCCAAAAGGTAAGCAGACTGCAATAACATTTGTTGGTTGTTGAGATTAGGATTCTGGTAAATGGCACAAACTTGCATGTCAGTTTTGCACGCTAACCTAATTGACAAGTGTATGAAGTGCTGCCTCCACAAATGAAAAAGTTTGTATTTGTCAATACCCCAATAATAAAGAATTGTCATTGCTTGAAAGTGACTCCGGAACATGGGCCGGCCTATCTTATCAAGTCAACTCCGATGAGGGGGATATTATTATGTCAATAGATCCAAGAAATGCAGAAAGGCTCGCTCACAGACACAATGTCAAGTTGTCAACAAATGTCATTTCACTTGTTTCAGAAACAGACACCTCACAAAAAATTGACATATAATACGTCCCCTTTAAGACAACTGGGAACTGTTTTCGAGGACTATACAGGTGATACCCACAAGCCCAAAACTTGCAAGCACGCAAAGCCGACATGACGCTGGAGCGACTCAGACTCTCCGGGGGGAAAAAAAGCTTTCAGCCTTGAATAGAAACCTTTATTGTGGTTTTCCAAATCCTGTCTTGACTGGCGGTCGCAAACAGGAAACACATTTTCCAACACGGCAGCCAAGGATGCTCTCAAATCCCCCCCACCACCTCCCACACCCCCCAACCTTCTCTTTTGTTGCAACTCCAAGTGTCGAGTATCACTAGAAGTATTCTATCATCTGCCGCATGCCATCTGATCGGCTTGGGGGGGCTGCTCACTCGTGAATTCAAAGCGCGTTGCACTTATTGGTGGTCACAGTAAACGGACACTCACAGCTGTTAATTTCAACATCAGACATGAGGATGCACGCATGGCAGGTGCATTACATGGAAGAGTTACTCTGTCCCCAAAAACAACCGGTTTGAATTTCGATTCTCTTTCGAACAAATACAAAGTTAGTTGCATTGACTTTTCCACAATAATGCACCAACTACATATATGACTTCAGCTACAGATGAGACAGTATCAAAATTTCCCATCACAATTACGGTGACATATGATAAATTATAAACGGCAGCAACCCCCCCCCCCAAATAAAACCACAATAAACAAACTCACATTTCAACTAAGTTTTGTTTTTACGGGACACCGTCAAACTTTCTAATACCCGTCATGTTTGTCAATGCAGCAGCTTCTGTTGTGTGGGGAAAAAAAGGGCATTTAAAAATACTGTGTATTGGATGCAAGAGGTTAAAAAAAAGAAGAAATATAGGGCACTATATTTTTCAAAGAAAAGCAGTGGTCCGAAGATAGACACTTGCGGAACACCAACAATAATTGTGAGCTATTTAGACATGTCATTCCAATTCTGGAGAATCTTGCTATCACCTAACAACAGTATGAGTACGTCGGTCCATTAAGGACTCAAAGTGAGGCTATTTACTTTCTTCCGTTATTTGGTGTTGATCACCACAGTGACAGTTCGAGCACCATAGTCCACATGTGGCTCCCATGAGACGTCCCAACTCCAGAGTGCAAAATAGACAGCGGCAGAGGCCCCGACGTTGCCTCACATGAAATACGCCACAGTAAATCCCCCTTGGGCGCGCAACCTCCTCCAAGTCTACTCGCATCCAGCTGTCCTCGCGAGCTCGTCTCGAGCTCCAGCGGTGACATGACATACGGCGTTCTGTCTGGAAGCACCTTGGGATGATTTAGTTCTGTGGCTCATACTGTTTTCGGCGAGTGAGGAAAAATGAGAAAAGGGAGAAATCGGATCTGCTTTGCTCTGAGACAAAAGGGTTTGCGTGAGGGACCACACGGTTGCGCTGAGAGCAAATGGAAACTGAAAGAAATGTGTCCTGTTAATGTGATGAAACACATCTATAAAAGTGTGACATTGTGCTTTAGACACGCTGAAAACGATACATCAACTTTCATTGACCACCGTGAGCTGAAAAAGTTATTTTTAAACCTCTTTTTCAGAACAGAGCTATGGAAAGAAGCCAAGTTGGACAGGCATGGTGAAAGGGGCCTGTGATACATTCCAAAGCTGGGAAATCCATGAATCGACTTGGAACCCCCTTTCATACACACCAGCAGGATGGAAAGAAGCTGGCTTTGATTAACTGTTTGAAAGTAAAAGCCGCCCCCAGCTCGATCCACCACGCACCATCTTCATAACTGCCACCCAGGTCAGCAAGCTGGACAAAAAGCGGGCCGTGGGAAAGGGGCTTTTACTACCTGCAGATGTAGGGTACAATTAATTTTGTGATGAGCTAGCTACAGTAAAAAAAAAAAAACAAAAAAACTGAAAAAATTCGGTCTGCCTCCAAATTAAATGATTGTGTTTTCATCCCCTTTCACACACCCTGTCTTTTTTGTGTCTTTGGACTGTGTGAAAGGCATCGACACAGATTGGTGCGGATGACGAAAATCTCTTCAACAACCAACAAGAAGTCCAATTTCCTTGCATTGAACATTTTTGTGTCTTCATCCCCTTTCACACTGCCATCATCGTTGTCTTTTCCCCCATTTTAACCCCCTTTCAAACTGGCCTGTGTGAAAGTGACCAACACAGAAAGATGGGGGAGCGGCAACAACTCCCAAGAATTCCAGTTGCCTTCAAGTTTCCTTCAAGACTTTCAATGCCCCTTCCACGCCACTCGACAGGAAGTCAAGCTGACTTCCATTCACCTTTTGTGGCTCTTTAGCCCCTTTCACGCTGCCCATCAAAGCTGTCTTTTTCTAATGTACGGGATAAATGGGAAACCTCCTTTAAAAAAAAAAAAAAAAAAAAAGTCCTAAAAGGGTCTGATGTCAATAACATAAACAGTTGCTGAGGAATGTGGCGTTTGATGAAATGTGCAACAGGCGATAAGCGCAAGAAGTCATAAGGGAGAGGCAACAAGCCGTGATGGATGTGCGCGCTTTCCCCTCCGCTTGAAATTTCCCAGATATATTTCATGCTTTTAGCAAACAAACTGCCGCGTATTTTCCCCGGCTCGCCGGCTCCCCCGACGCGCCGTTATCAAACCCCGCAATGACTCGAGCTGCTTTGATGCCGTGATTCGCCCTGTCAGCGATTTTCAGCAACGTTCTTGTCTCGCTTCGAGCGCTCTCTCGGCCCTTCGGAGGAGGGAAAAAAAAAAAAAGTCAAACTGAATCTCAGGAAAAATCACACCTTGGCCGCGCCTGTCAAAACATACAAGGTCCAGGAAAGTTTTTGAAGGTTTTTATAGTCTGTCACCGGTGTGAAGGGGTCTGGATCATTGGGTGTTGGCGACACTATGCTCACTGTCGTAGGTAAATGTTTGTTATTTATCGCAGTGGTCCCCAACCTTTTTCCGCCACAGTTCGTGGTCCGACAGATATTTTGTGGACCGGCCCCCCCACATCTGTTGACGGGGGTGTGCTGACTGACATTCCTGCCTGGGTGATAAGAGACACATATGTTCCGCTAAGACTATTGGTGACAAACTTTTGGATGATTGCTAATGTACTTTTGGGAAATATAGGCTCCGCCCACCCATCCCCTCACCCCCCAAATCTGTGGCCCGGTATCAAATCGCCTACATAACCATAGTGGATGAGGCCCCGCGTTTGAGGAACACTCATTTATTTTTATATTGAGCTTCAAGTGTAACAACAGCAGAATCACCAACAGAATATAATTTTTGGGTGGAAAAAAAAAAGACAAAAAAAAATGTTCAAAATAGTTTTTTAAAATATTGGGGTGAAAATCTGCAGATATTGAATCCAAGAGTGCTGGACACATTTTTTGAGACAAATTTTAAATTTTTAACATGTATATATTTTGTTGTAAATCTTGCCACAGTGACTATAACAAATGCATATTATCTGTATGATTATATTTTCATAGTGATTAATTGACTTTACACATGTTCCATTTTTCGGTTTTCTTGTTGAATGATTTGACATTTAGAAATGGGTCAATAATACTGGCAATGAAAATACTTGGAAATATGTTGTAACTCTTTTTATGTATTCATTGTATTTATTTTAAAACTTAAAACGGATTGAAATGCTGTTTCTCATTTTGCTTTTCAATCGACTGCTTTAGCCAATTTAAAAAAAAAAACATTTTAGAAACAATCTTAACCCTTTCGGGGACAGCGGTTACGACAGTGGACAGCTTCTCATGTTATCAAGTTACAAGGTGCACGAAAGGGTGAAAGAATATCTCATATGAAACTAAGGCCTCTCGTCATTTCACAGAATTTTCACCGTTTGATCTTCAAATGAGTCAAATCAATAATCCCAAAAAGGACCAACGACAGTCTTCAGATGTTGCATCCATGCCAATATCCGCATGCGATGATGGACTTAAGACTTTGAACGACCGCTACATGCTGTGAAAACTCCCAAGACGGAAATTCGTCACAAATAAATCCCCGACCCCAAATAAATCCTCCCCTAAATCCCTCGCCCGTTGGCGTTTGCACCCCAAACGTCAAACTGCCTCGTCCGCGTGTTTGCTCTTCCAGCCGAACACTTCATTTTTCTCCAAAGCTCAATGGCCCATAAAGCCCCCCCCCCAAGCCCCCCCACCGTCGCCTCCCACCGCGTCCCTGCGTGTTTTACGCAGCCCCCTTGTCCATAATACCATATAACATCAACACATTGCCTTTGATTGGTGCACATAAACATTGACTGCGGCCGCAGCGCACTTTTAACGGCGCGGCCACAACTCACCGCCGCCGCTCGGGACGCCGCTCGGGACGCCAAGGACGAGCCCGGGCTCAGGGTCACGGAGGAAAACGAGGATGGACAGCGAGAAGAAAAAGATCGTTTTCACAAGACGGAGAAAGAAAAAACAGACCACAACAACAGAAGATTTTGGGAATCGAATCCCAAGCATGACCGGCTCATCGTTTTGACGTGATTACTTTCCACTCACAAGATTAGCAAGTTAAAAAAAATGCAAACCCAAGTTCAGAAATCGAATTGGAATCTCAAACTTGAGTTTCCAAGTCGGGTGTGAAATCAATTTGTAACCCGGACTTGAAATCCAATCCTGAAACCCTAACCCTAATTTGGAACCCTAACTTGAAAGAGTGATCCTGCTTGAAAGACAAACTTTGCCTTTCCGCCATAAATTGAAACCAACCAAACTTGTTTTGAATCCAAAAATCAATTTTACAGCCAAAATTCGAAACCCCAATATCTTGTTTGAGAACCTACTGCTGTCTCGAAACCAACATTTCAAACCCCAACCTTTGATATAATCCTAATATGAATCCCTAACATTGGGTTCAAGCACGAATTTGAAACCCAATTTTTTAAACCCTACCCTAAAGCCCTAACAGTTGGTTTGAAACCCAAATTTGAAACCATATCCTTTTTTAAAAACACTCATCTCAAGCCCCAAATTCGGTTTCAAACCCTAATTTGAAACCCCAACAATGGCTTCCAACTCCAATCTCAAACCTTAAAACCTTTGTTTATTGGAAACACCAACCCTAACTCAGATTTCCAACCTAACCTAAACCTAATTTCAAAACCTCAGGGTGAACCTTTTACATTGGTTTCGGACCAAAGTTTCAAACCCTAACACCGGACTTTAAAGTCAACCTTGTCACTCTGTCCTCGGTTTCAAATCCTATAACCCCAGTTTGAAAAACCCTAACTTGGACGAATAACCCTCTCTTGAAACCCTAAACCGACTTCTCTAACCTTCATTTGAACCCTTCACTTGACGTTATGACGTAACCGCGCGAAAAGGGGAGAAAGCGCGATCGAGCTAGCAAGCTAGCGATCAGGCGAGGCGACGCGAGCGCTGGCTCACAGTCGGTTGGAAGAGAAAGTGGCCGTTGGTGCTCCCTGCTGTTTTATGTCGCAGGGGAAACATCTTGATCACAGTGTGTTATTCCACAACACGGCTTCCTTCGTGGAAAACTCCCCCTGCCTGCCTGCCCGCCCGCGTTCCCCCTTCCTCGCTCGCACTCGCTGACTGACTGCAGAAACTGTCCATGCGCGCCATAAATAACGCCACGCGGAGCGGAACGCCGCGCAGCCTGCGACGCCGCCCCCCCCCCCCCCCCCCCCCCTCCGCTGAAGCTAAAAGACGCTGGTGAAAAGCCGAGCGCTCAATTGTACGTCAATCCTGAAAAGCGTCATTCATTCATTGGACATTTTGCGCAAAAAAAAAAAAACGACAAAAATTGTTGTCGGTCACGTGATGTCATCGTTGTACTAAAAAGAGCTTCACGCTCAGTAACTGCGATGTCATTTATTTACGTGAAAAATGATCAACAAGTTCCGGTGCAGTCATCGATTTTGCATTGAGGAACCACGTGAGTCGCTCGTGTTCGACTTTCCCATTTTCGGTCATCAGAGTTGTGTTGTGTGGTCGGTGTGCAAGTGTTACACATAAATGAGCCAGTGAGAGGGGTGTGAGGCATAGTGGGGGGCTGGGGGGGCTTTGTCAGAGCTATGCTGGATTCGAGAGTCGCTGTTTACTTTGCGAGGCCTCAAGCCGGCCTGCGCTCAATGGCACCACTGTGCACACAAATGGCGAACCCGGGACGCGAGAAAGTGCCCGCGTGTCAAACCTTCGACAGTCACATCAGCTTTTTCGGTTTCCAAACCCTAACCCAAGTTTTGAAATCCTACTTCAACCTTGAAAACCTCATTTGAAACCCCAACACAAGTTTGAAACCCTAATTTGACACCCTAATCTTGGTTGCAAAGTCTATTTTGAAACACCGGTAGCGTTTGTTTGAAACTCTAATCCAGGCCCGAAACCCTAATTTGAAAAACCCGAACCATGACTTGACACCCTAATTTAAAACGCTAACCCAGGATTGAAATGCTAACCCCGACTTCAAACCCTACTTTGAATCCCTTACACTTGTTTGAAGCCCTAATTCAAAACCCTAACTCAAGATTCAAACTTTAATTTGAAAACCTAACCCTTTGTTGAGACTCTACAATATTTTTTAACCCGAACACTTTTTCAAAACTCCAATCCAGGTTTGAATTCCTCATCCGAAAGCCCAACCCTCGGTTGAAACCGTAAATTGAAACCCTTACCTTCCAGAGCCTTGCGCAACACATTCAAAATACAAGGAGCGTCGAGTCCAAGGCAAAAGCGAGGTTTTGCTGATCTTAATTTATTCAATCATACTTTTTTCTTGACCTGATTTTCATTTGCCAATCGCAGCCGACACCATATTTCACGCGGCGATGAATAGCTCATTCATTCAAATCATATCTAAAAGGCGCAATGACATCTCATCATTCTTCACAATCGAACCCGCTGCCGTTTTCGCCAACTTGTATTATGAATGTCGAGCAAAGTTTGGAATACGTCTGCATTTTATTCCATGAAACCATGACTGCAATTTGTATGATGAACGCTGACTTCTCAGCCATGTTATTTCCTTGCTGCAGTGTGAAAATCGTGTCGTTAAACGACTTTCACTGGAAGACTCAAAAGTTCGATTCGAAAGAGAGATTCTTAGAAAAATTTGCATTTCGGGATGTGACTCCTGACCACTCTTGGCTACTCCAGAAGCTCTGCCGCTGCACTCTTGATTGGTTCAGTTTAAATGTATTCATGGCATTGCTCTCTTGAGGGGAAATTGAGAAAAATAATATATCTCAAGTATAATTTTTCGGAAAAATAAGAGTTGAGGAGCCCACCGGGGGATGTGCCTGCTATGCCCGACAGCCAGTCTCAGCGGTGGCGGTGAGAAAGCGGCCCCGTTGCCTCCCCATCTCAAATTCCCAGGCTGAATTTGGCATGACCCCCCAAAAACCATCGATCCCGGCCGGCCTTGATGAGGTAACGCAATCACAAACATCAATAAGGAGCGGTGTGGGCCCATCATTATGCCGTGACGCTGATGAACGAGCCACCTCGCAAACGATCCCCCCGCTCGGGCCCGAGGGGCTTCGGAGGGAAGGCACCGCTCCGGGTGGGGTGGGGTGGGGGGCCGCCCCAGCCATCGCCAAGGAGACAGATGACATCCAAAATGCCCCCCCGCACCCCCCCCCACCCAACCCACGGCCTCTTTTGCCTTTTCTGGCCGGCTCCTTTTGTTTCAAAGGCAGCTGCCGCCCGCCTGACCTTTTGGCCAAAGAAAGATTTGCAAAACTTGCAGCATTCGCGCCT